GGGGGGGGGGGGGGGGCTAATATCGAAATATTGAAGATTTGGACGAGCTTGAGAGTAGTTTCTAAGATTTGGAGGGCTAAATGTTGAAATATTTAAGATCTGGATGATCCTATCGAGATATCACAAAATACTTTTATATAATGACGTTGTACAAATTATCAAAAGTTTTTTTTATTATAAAAATAAATTGCACAAGGACAATTTATTATCAAAGTAATACTTGCAAATTAGTAGAGTAAGTCTAAAAACAAATGATAATTAAGAAGGAAGGATAGTGACTAATTAAGTAAATCAACATAAAATTACCAATAACCCATACTAACTCATGACCATCATTACCATTATAATTTATGAATAGATTAAGTTTCTCTAGTAAAAATAATATGAGTATATATTGGCTGAGGGCAATGCTACAGGGACCCGGGGATACGGGACAGGGGAGGGGACATGTGAGCTGTCCCCTCCCTATTGGTTCATGCACTGTTCATGAACAGTGCATGGACCAATAGGGAGGGGACAGCTCACCTGTCCCCTCCCATGTCCCATATCCCCGGGTCCTTTAGGAATTTTCCATTGGCTGATGATGCATCACTTTGTATTGCCGTGTGTCGCTAATGTGACACACATTAAATCATCAGCCATGGTTTTACTTTTTTAGAGTATCTGAATTACAACCACCTTGTGTGCTGTTATCGAATAGAGATAGCTTCGACATGATTGACACGAGTCATATTCCTTCAACTAGCTAAATTGTTTCATTCAAAATTATAGATATATTGCACCAATAGAGGACATAAATATTTTTTAATAAATCCCTAATAATTCTTTTCATCAAATTATAACCAAAATTAGATATACCGAATAATACTCCAACAACCATAAAAAATCAAAGTATTTTCTCAAAACAGTACGGAAAATCCAATTATTACATTTCTACAGCGAGGGTAAATTTTTTTTTTAAACAATTTTTTTTCTCTCTCTCTCTCCCAAAATTCATCGAATCGAGCTGTTTAAAAAGCAGAAGAAAGAGATGGCGATGCTGGATCGCTCTTTCTCTCTTTCCCCCTCCCCTTTCTCATCGTCTCCAGCTTCTCTTCGAATCCCTAGCGATCTCCCGATCTCAAGTAAGTCTCCCATGCCTCGATCTTTAAATTTCGCTCTTTTGATGCTTGAGTTCTGTTGTTGTTGTTGTTGTTATATATTGGATCGCGTGCATATTTGATCGGTTCATGATGGAGGGATCGAATCTGGATCGGGGAAGTTCGATTTTAGGGGTTTAGGGTTTCTTGTAGTGATTCGAGTAGAGATTTCGTATTTTGTTGATCGGGATGCGATTTGGGAAGTTTGCAATTTAGAGTAGTAGAAGTGTTTGGTTGATTAACCGGATCCAATGGGGTTTAGGGTTTCTTGTACTGATTTGAGTATAAATTTCTTATGTTGGCGATCTGGATTAGATTTTGCGAAGTTTTTGCTGTAGCTAAATGCTTGCTGTAGGGAAGAAGAAATGATTGCTTGATTGAATCGTGAAGCAGGATGGTGGGAGCCAAGGATTTGATCTTGATCAAAGAAAATTGCTTGCTTTTTTGTTTACTGGAATTCTTTTTAATCTATAAGCAATAGATATTTTATCTATCTGATTTCTAACAGCTAAACTATCACTTAGTATTTCTTAAGGAGGAGATCATTTTGTGAATAAGTGCATCTATTTTGGAAGAAGAAGCTCAAAATGCTTCCAGGAGTTCTATAGTAGTTATTTTAAGTTCTGAATTTGCAAGTTGGTGATCACGGGAAAAAAGAGAAAAAAGAGAAAAAGGAAAAAAAAGGTCTTCTCTTAATTCTAAAATCAAGAGCAAAAAACTTCTTTTAGTCCCAATAAATGTTGTTTTCGTAGGTTTCTAACAAATGATGTTAGAGCAGCTCTGTGCTTCCCATGTTGAATGGGTTTGGTATTGAAGTGTTCATTTGAGACTGGCCTAGTGTCGAGATAAAGGGGTGATGTTGGGATAGTGTGGTCGATTGGGACTAGATAAGTGACAATCCAGCCCGTGTGGGCTCAGGGATGCAGAAGATTGGTGATATGTTAGGACCCATTTGGTCGGGTCCCATGTCGACTAACCCGTGAGTCACTTTAGTTTATTAGAGTTTTGAGTTCCTCCTACTAAGACCTATTTTTAACGGTGAGTTATCCCAAGTCTCTAAATATTCTTAAGAGTTTTATTTGCAAATGCTGCGGTTGGCAAAAAAAAAAAGATCTGAATTAGCTTGGGCTTGGCGTCTCAATATTCTATGAGAAGAATGGTATTTAGGGCATTGAAGCCTGTCCAATTAGTTGTAGAATGGTATTTTGGGCATTGAAGCCTGTCCAATTAGTTAATTGATTACTTTTTCTTGATCCAAAAGTTTACATTATTCTACTAACCTAACATAGTCGAGTGCTTGGGAAGCGTTGCATCTACTTTTGGGTGAATACCTTTGCCCGCCTTTTGGATATTCTGATTAATTCATATCGCAATGTGTTTCATGTTACTTAAAACACGTTAAATGTAGAAAATCAGAATGCTAAGGCAAGTGTAGGAGACTAGGGATGTGTTTGGCAATATGCTGAAAACTAGGCCTAGTTCAGTCCTGGCCCAGTTCTATCCTAAACTTGTTATCGTTTGAATCAGGAGAGGGCTGGTCCAAAATAGAACTAGTTTAAAGGCCACATTTTGGCCTAAAACAAATAGACCAACTATGGCTTAGAGTTTTGCCAAACAAAAATATCCAAATCTGGGCCAGGTTTGAACCTAGCCCAATTTTGAAAGATTGCCAAACACACCCTAATAGTTTAGTTGTAGCAAAACTAATTCTGTGGCTCCTTTAAGATGGAGATGGCACCACCTTCTTCTTCAATTTACCTTTTGGAACTTAAATGAGTTATCATCACTATTGTTTAAATTATGCAAAGATTGGAGACTATCTCTATATTTGTTTCCTTCTCTTTTTTCTATATTACATGTGACTCCTTATTTTTCTGTCCCAAAATTCATTGAACTGTTCAAAAAGTGAAAGAAACAGTGAAAGAAAGCGAGGGCTATGCTACTCCACCCCCCAAATCACTCTTTTCCCCCTCCCGCCCTATTCCCCCCCTCCACCTCCGCTTTGAATCCCTAGTGATCTCCCGATCTCTAGTAGGTCTCCATACTTCGATCTTCGATTTTCTTCAAATTTCGCTCCTTTGATGCCTTGATATCTATTGATGTTGTTATTTATTTGATTGCGCGTGTCTTTGATTGATTCTTTATGGAAGATTTGAATCTAGGTTGGAGGAGCTCGATTGTTTTAGGGTTATTGTGCTAATTTCAGTGGGGATTTCTTCTTTTGGCATCCAGAATGAGATTTAGGAAGTTCTTGCTTTAGAGAAGTAGAAGTGCTTGCTCGGTTAAAATGGTTCAATGGCCTTTAGGGTTTCTTGTACTGATTCGAGTAGAAATTTCTTATCTTGGCCTTCCGGATTAGATCTTGGAAAGTTTTTTGCTTTGGTTAAAAGCTTGCTCTAGGTAAAGAGATGATTGCTTGCGTATCCGGATTAGATCTTGGAAAGTTTTTTGCTTTGGTTATTGGTTAAAAGCTTGCTCTAGGTAAAGAGATGATTGCTTGCGTATCGTGAAGCAGGATGTTGGGAATGAAAGATGTGATACTGATTAAAACCCTCAAAGAAAATAGGTTGATTTTTGTTCAGTGGAATTATTTTTGTTCTACAAGCAATAAATTTATCTATCTAAATCTAATAACTAAAACTCTTGCTTTGCATTACTGACGAAGAGATGGCTTTGTCAATATCTCTTTTGGAAGAAGTAGCTTAAATTTTTTCCACAAATTACAGTGCAGTTAGTTTAAGTTGTGAATTTGCATTCTGGTAAACAGGCATCAATTTTGAAAACAAGTGCAAGAAACTTCTTTTAGTGCCAATAATTGTTGGTTTCTAACAAATGTCATGAGAGCCAGTCCTGTGCCACCCAGCTTAGATGGGTGGTGACTCTGGTATGGAACTGTTCCTCCAAGGCCTAGTCGAGTGTGGACCTAAAGGGTGACTGGGGATATTAGTGATCAACTGGGACTAGATTGGTGCAAAGCCAGCCCACATGAGTGTAGGAATGCAGAAGATTGGTGATATGTTAGGAACTTAGGATCCGTTTAGTCAACTCCTATGTTGACTAAATGGTGAGTCAGTTTTGGGTTTGTTGGAGATTTGTTCCCGTTCCTTATCCTAACACCTAGTTTTTAGGGGTGAGTTCGCCTAGGTCTCTAACAAATGATCTCTGAGATTCTTTGAGGGTCTTATTTGAACATGTCACAGTTGGTGAAGATAACTGATCTGAATTAACGTGGGTTTTGCCTCTGAATATTCCATCAAAAGAATGATGTTTAGTGCATTGGAGCCTGTTTAATTAGTTACTTGCTTGCATTTTCTTGATGCAGAACTGAATCTTATTTTACTAACCTGATGTACTGGAATATAGAGAGGCTTTAATGTATTTTTGTGAGGATTTTTTTTTGCCTTTTTGGATATTTTATTCAGTCTAATTTAGTTTAGTTTTTTTTTAAATAAAATAACTTGTGTTTTATATTACTTAGAACATGTCAGCTGGGAGACTAATAGTTTGTGTTGTGGTAAAACTAATTCTCTGGGTCCAGAAAGATGGAGGTGGCACCATCTTCTTCTACAATTTCCCTTTTGGAACATAAATAAGTTCTCATCACTGGAAGCTGAATTATGTTGTTTAAATATTCGAATTTGGAAATGATTGCGTATTTGTTTCCTTTTTATATTACTATATTACATGTGACTCATTAGTATTATGTTTTTCTTGTTTGTTTCTTCACTCCTTTTTAGATTCTTTGTGAGGATCTACTTCTTGTTTATTCCTAAGCTCCTTTCTTCTTCCTGACTAACAACTCTTATTCTTTCCCTTAAATATCGGAAGATACTCTTTATGTTATGTCTGAATAATCATTCTCAGTCTGTGTTTTATGTATGTGCTACCTTATTTGTTTTATTTAATGTGTTGGTCGAATGAGTTCTTTTAGCCTCATTGATTTCTATTCTATTTCATTTGAGTAAATTATATTACTCTTATATTGAAGAAAGTTATTCATAAGAAAGATCATGCAGATTGAATTGTATATAACTTGACCATTTCATATGTTCAGAAATGGGCGACGCATGTTGTTCCACCCAGCTCATTGATGGGGATGGTGTGTTCAATGTGAGTGGTCTTGATAACTTCATGAAGACTGTGCAATTGGCTGAATGTGGACTTTCTTATGCAGTGGTTGCTATAATGGGCCCACAAAGTAGTGGTATGTAGCCTTTTTTTTTTGAGTAAATTTATTACACACACAAACTTTGTTTATAGATGGGTGTTGAATTCATGGAAATACATGCTAAACTGTTTTGACATTTGTGGGGATCAAAGTGGCTCTTTACAGAGCCTACCTGATGCGGTTTTTATTGGTCTATTCGTTTGTTCTCATTGTTGAACTCATTTACAGATGGTTAAGAAAAACAAATTATTTATTTTGAATGTAATTTTGAGGAAAACCTTTGCTATGGGGAAAACGTCATTTGAGCCAATTGTAAGGTTGTAAGCACTGCCGATGGCGGGGTGAGATAATAAGAATTAAGATGAATTTCCTCACTTTTCATTGCTTAAACACAACAAGAAAATCTAAATTTGGCTTTTTGATGTGATATTTTGGAGAAGATTTGAATATGAAGTAGGAGATGTTGCCAGGTATGTTACATTTGCCAACCAAAAAAATGGTGGGTGGGGTGGGGTTGGATATATTAACAGTAATTCAATCCCTTATAAAAAAGATCTTTTTGTCTTACCAAAATCATCCAATTGTGAATGAATAGTTAGGGCACTTTAGTATCTATTATAATGTATCTTTATGTGAAAACGTTGTGAGATTAATCTTTTCCTTATATTTGCTATTTAACCTTAGAATTTAGATAAAAACACAAGCCCTTTGGACATAAAAGCTTGCTAATGAACCATTAAATTGCTATCAATTTTCAACTAGCATAGAAGCATACAACTTGCTCTGCATCTGCGGTGCCATGCAAGACTTGGAGTTATCGGGGGCCTGGTCTTGTGATTGTTGCCTTTCTGGGTCTTTTTTGATGCACAAAATGATTGTTCACATTCTTCTGCAATTCTTATCCATTTGTCTGTCTGGACAGGGAAGAGCACTCTGTTGAATCATCTGTTCCGCACCAACTTCAGAGAGATGGATGCATTTAGGGGGAGGCAAGTTTTTACTAGAAGCTCCTGGTTTCTGTTATCTTTGTTGAATTTATCTCTATTTAGTTTTGAATATGTCTTAACTTTCCACATGATTATTTGTCGTTCAAAATAGGTCTCAAACTACTAAAGGCATTTGGTTGGCAAGGTGTGTTGATATTGAGCCTTGTACGATTGTAATGGACTTGGAGGGCTCTGATGGAAGAGAGCGAGGAGAGGTATCTTTGCTAAGGATTGATTTCATACTGGAATAGCTTCATGAACTATATGCAATGATATTTCATCATTATTTTTGGGATAAATTGCTCATAACCCCCTCATGTATCCCTTCAGTAGCACTTATTACCTTCAACTATTTTATTTGCACTTAACGCCTTTACATTGTTATTTAGGACAATAAATCTCTGGTAACCCCCTCTCTCATGAAATCAAGGGCGTTAAGTGCTACTGAAGATATAGGCGAAGGGGTTATCTGCAATTTAACCTTATCTTTAAATTTTTCATGAGATATCATCTCACTTCGTAGCATTAATAGTTCATTATTTGTTATCTTATACACAGTTTGCTTCATTATTAACGCATGATCTTAAATTTCACCCTTTTACATGTTTATGAGGGCGTTTGGAAATCTTATTATTAGGTCAAAGTAGCTTTTAAGCTAGTTTTCCATATCTACATGTTTGATAGATCTCAAATAAGCTAACTTTTAAGTCCAATTTAATAAAGCTGGGGTAACCCAACTTTTGCGGAACTAGCTTATAAGCTCATCCAAATAAGCTCGGTTTGACCAAACAAATGACGATTCTATCCATACAACTTTTGTAGCATTTTTATTATAAAAGCCAAGCATTAACTTATAAGCTTCAAAGAATAAGGCCTTCCGAACACCATCTATGACACCTGCATATTTGGTAATTGATCACTTAAGAGTATTATAATACACAGTCTGTTGATATGAGACAGATGACAAATTGGAAGGGGATCAACAAATTAATTTAGGTTAATATTGTTATGTATATGGAGAAAAACGAGAGCAATCTGCAGAATATCTTTGGTGTTACTGCATGAAGTTTTGTTACTTGACCTACTCTTTATTTATTTCTGGAGAATACCATTTTTGGTATTGGGTAATTTGCGAAACATATCTTAACGAAGTAGTAGAGACTACAATTCCTGAGCTGTAAAACAACAGTTTTCCCATATGTGAGAAGCTTTCATGCTTAAATATGATGAAATCTATTTGCTAGTGCCTTTTATACAGGTTCACATGTCTTGAAACTTGAAAATGGTGTGTCTAGTCTGTCTACTTGTGTTAGCTGAAAAACTGAAAGCACTGTAACAATTGTTCATAAAAGGCGTGGATTTACCTTATTTCAGGATGATACTGCATTTGAGAAGCAGAGTGCTCTTTTTGCTCTAGCCGTTTCTGATATAGTTCTGATAAATATGTAAGCATACTGATCTATCACATGGCATCAACTTTATTAATCTTTTATTTCTTTCAATATCTGAAATATCCATCAATTACCTATTTCTCCTCATGTAAACGTACATAGGTGGTGTCATGATATTGGGCGAGAGCAAGCTGCAAACAAGCCTCTTTTAAAGACGGTATTTCAGGTATACTTCAATGTGTAAATGTGCGTGCAATTGGTTACTGCTATATGCTTTTGGTTTCATTCACTTCGGAAACCCTTATGACAGGTCATGATGCGATTGTTCAGCCCTCGCAAAACAACTTTACTTTTTGTCATACGTGATAAAACTAGGGTAATTTTCTTAACTTTCTTAAAGCTGGTGGTTCTTTCTTTTTACATCTTCTCACTCATACTAAGTTGTTAACCTAACCTAAATAAACAGACACCTTTGGAAAATTTAGAACCTATTCTGAGGGAGGATATTCAAAAGGTATTGAGTGTCGTAACTCTTTTGGTTTTCCATATGTTACTTTTTTTTTGGTTACTAACATTGTCTCTTGATATTTTGTTTCCAGATATGGGATTCTGTTCCCAAACCACAGGCTCACAAAGAAACTCCTCTTAGCGAGTTTTTTAATGTAAGTTAACAATCTTTGTGAGCTGGCCTTTATGCTGTCTTGATTGATGGCAAATAACTCTGTTACTTAATCTTTCCACTCTATGCGGATGCCCAGGTAGAAGTTGTGGCTCTTTCAAGTTATGAAGAGAAAGAAGAGCAATTCAAGGAGCAGGTGCGACATTAAACAACATAAATATTGTTAACTTTTGTGATATAAAATTTACCTGTTCTTATTGCTTTCTTTGGACATTGTTATGCTTTTCTTGTTTTATGTTGCTGGTCAATTATTGTTGGTTTATCTAATAGCTAAGATTTTGGACATGTTAGCATAGCATCTGGATCGAGGTCCTGGGTCATGCCCTCTGTCATCCTTTTTTTCCATTTTTTTTTGTTTCTCTGAACTTCCATATGCTCAAATCAGGGGGACCTTGTGGTTCTGCGGGAGGAGATTGAATATAGTGGAAATTTGGACCGAGCTTGATATACATTTTTTTATCTCCTAGAACTTTTCAGTGTTTCACCATATTTACCTAGAAATCCTGCATTATCCTCAGATGTTTCAAATAGAATATGCCTTTGAATCATCCTTTTCTTGTGGTGACGTACCCAGAACAGATTGCCTAGTATACACATACAGTCGTACATAGTACTTGGATACTGTCACGCACCGGGCTTGTGAGCCCATTGACGCATAGTAAGTTGTGGGACCCATTGCGTGTAGCGTATTGATCGGCTCAAACCACTGTCAAAATCAAGTGGCCAATACTACACTTGGGCCTTAAGTTTTATCATTTTAAACCATTCGAACTCTACAGTTTTCTGATGTGGGACTATAATATTTGGGCTATCACAATCACCCCACCTTTAATATGCAACATCTTTGTTGCGGCATGACAATTGGCATATCCCAGTATCATCGTCAGATGACGTGGACTCTAGATGTGGCTCCAAGGTTACCGATAGCGGATAAGGTCGCGTAGCGGCAAGGCACCACTATGGTTATTTGGGGCTATAGCGGTAAGGTAGCTGCAAAAAGACTCAAAAAATAAGAAAATTAAAGAAAAATCTAATATTCTACAAATGCATATTCAATGATTTATAGAGATCCTAAGTATGAACTGGACATGTAACAATCACACAGTATTAATAAAAGTACTGTGTAGAATAAAAAAGCATACATATTTATCAAAAAGACTATTATTTGTCTTATTCTTTCAACTTTAAATCTAATAGAGAAATTCTCAACAATAGAAAAACATTGATTAGTAGCAACATAATTGTATTAACTAATTGAAACTTAACATAAGCACATAATAGATAAGTGGGCACTATTTACCGCTACTTCGTGCTTTTGAACGCTTTCGCGAGCGAAAAGCGTGCACAAGTGGTATTGCTGACCGCAATCAATGAAATCGTAGAGGCAGGCTCCCCACTGCCATTTGCGCCACAATAGCGCCACTATCAGCTGCTATTTACATTAGTGGGTGGCTCCTAGTGGCTCCTCAGGTGGCTTCCACTGACCTCACACGGTATATCACTTAGCCCCGCATAACCGGCTAGCAAACTGCTCTGGTACGTGACATCAAAGTGCTATGATATGATTTGTCACGCACTGGGTCTGGAGCTCGGTGGCGCATAGTAAGCCGTGGGACGCACTAAGTGTAGCTCGTTGTTTGGCTCAAACCACTGCTAAAATCGACTAACCGATGCTACACTTAAGCCTTAAGATTTATCATTTTAAATCATTCAAACTCTTTATAGTTTCCTAATGTGGGACTATAATCTTTGGGGTGTCAACAGACATCGGAGAATTTTCCCCTTTTCAGAATATTTTTTCTATGCTAAATTGCAACTATTATTAATTGGCTCTTTTTACTGATTTCCTTGTGGCTGGCTTATCCTAATGTTAAGACTTAAATGGCAACTAACTTTGGAAGTTAGGTAGCATGCAAGTAACAAAGAGCTGAACATGAATATTTATTGGCACAGTGTCATTTATTTGCTTGTAATTTATTATGAAGGTTGCGAGTCTGAGGCAAAGATTCTTTCACTCTATTGCTCCTGGTGGACTTGCTGGAGACCGCCGGGGTGTTGTTCCTGCTTCAGGATTTTCTTTTAGTTCTCAGCAGATTTGGAAAGTTATTAAGGAAAACAAGGATCTTGATTTACCTGCACACAAGGTTTCTATCCAAATCATATCTTTCGGATCTTAGCATCAACTGAGGCCTTTTGTTTACTTGGATAGTAAGGTCCTATTCTCATTGTTCTCTTGTAGGTTATGGTAGCCACTGTACGCTGTGAAGAAATTGCTAACGAAAAGTATGCTTCTTTCTGTGCTGATGAGGTAATTGATTTTTTTCTCCAATAGTTCATGCATGATTAGTTCAAATGAGTGATCTGTATAATCAGTTTTATTTTTCATCTGAATACTACAGGACTGGTGCCAGCTTGAAGAGGCTGTACAAACAGGTATTGTACCTGGTTTTGGAAAGAAGCTTAGCACACTATTGGACAAAGCATTGTCTGGGTGAGCATTCTATTATTGTTATAATAATTTTGCATATGTTGCAGCTCTGTTCGCATAGATCATGATATTGTCTTGGCTTCGATTTTTGTCCTAATTTCTTACGTAGTTTGCAAATAAAAGTTAAGAACTCCAATTTGCGGTCGTTGAATTTGGACCATATTTATAAACCCTTCTTAATTTACAGTTTTGGTTCATAATCAACCATAAATGCTCGGGAACCTTCATGACGATGCAGATTATTCTTACGCCATGTATTTAGGATTCTTATGGTGGGCACAATTTTCTGTCAGTTGATGTGCTCTTAGATATTGTGTATGCCTCACGTTATGATCATGAATTTGATGTCGTTAAAAGAAAACCCAAGACGGATAGTCCAGTTAGGAAAATCTGTAAATCTGTCTCTAAATATTTTATGGGGACTTTATTCAAGGAAACAAATTCATCACATGTTCACAAGTAACCACACAACTACATACCACACAAAATGAGGGAGTCGCAAACAGGATATGAGCCTATCATCTTCTATGGGAGAGTTCAATGTTAATAGGTGAACATGTGCACAACCATAGTTGCATGGAACCCGGTTTGTTCCGGTTCACACGACGGGTACGGGAATGTGGTACGCCAGTCATTATGAATCGAGTTTGAGGGCGTAGGCTTATATGGTATGCCAGGGAACGTGGTATGCTTTTGGTTCAGTTCTTTATGCTAGTTGATATTAGTAATAGTAAAAGAACCTTAAGGATCATGTTGCAATTAAGATATGCAAAATTTATTTGCTTAATTTCTCACGTTTTTTGTTTTTTCAAAGTTTTAACTGGTTTGAATTCTAAATTGGGTCACTGGAGTTGGTGAATCGGGTCATGTTCTACGCGAATCTGGGACGATTGAACCTTGGTCGCAGTTTGCTGTAGCGTATCATGTTCCTGACTTCTATGTGCACAACTAAGGAAGTTAACTATAGAGAATAAAATATTTTCTGCATTTTAGAAAAAGAAGGGTTTTGATGTTTCAAGTTGTGGACCTTAGATATTCAGCTTAGTCGCATATAGTGTTTCAATAATTATATTCTATATGTATATCTGAACCTTATAAAGGGTAACGACTTTTTGTAACACGCGACATCCGACTGAAGGTTACTGGTCTTATGGCTAGCAAAATCTCAGGTCTTTCTGTAGTTTGGAATTATTCACAGTGATCTACATTCTTTCCTTACTGGTTAGATGCATTTTTTTGGGAGTATCCACCTTTGTTCAACAGCAGAAATAAGATAAAAAAGAAAATCGACCCCTAAGCGGGTACTGTCAACTTATTAAGATTCTTGTGTGAAACTAGTGTTCTTCTTAGATAATGTCTGTATACCTGATATATGATTCTCAGTTCTTTAACAATTAAGAAGTGAAGTTCTCTAATAAGTAGAAATATTTTTGGTTATCATGGGTTTTATTTTTGAGGCATGCACGCATATAGTCGTCATTATGTATGTATTTGAGTTATAACACACGAGCTTTTATTTTATAGTTATTAGGTCTGTGTGTGAGCTAACAGGGAGCGATCATTTTATTCTGTTTTTTTACCGATTGAGGAAAATTGGGAAGGTGTTATATTTAAGGTCATTCATTCAATTAACCGGATATTGTTCAAGGTTAAAACCTTCTATGCAAAAGAGAGAAGAAACAAGGAGGCTCCTGAAATAGAAATCTGCAGGGAATAATGAAGAGGTGGATTCTCTCAACGAAAGCTAGAGAAAAAATAGAGGTCGAACAGCAAATTAAATTTGAGAGTACCAAAATTGCTGATAAATATGATGAACGATAAAAGTGAACATTCATTCTAAAGCTTAGAAGGATTTGGTAAGAGATAACTTTGTATTTGTTAAGTTAAAAGATAAAGGGGATATGTTAAAAATGTTGCTATAATTTAAGGAAGCATATCAAATCTATTACATTGATAAATAGACATCCTTATTAGAAGAAAACCATTGGACATAAAAAGTTCTTCCCATGTGAATTCACTAAAGCTTGCTTTTTGGTATATTTTAAAATCAGTAAAACTTGTTTGTAAATTTGAGAGCCACTTGCACCTATGAGAAGTCAAAACGAGTTGCGGCATTTTATCATATGACAAGTTTCTTCAGTAACTTAATAATTCACCTTTTGATTAAATAACTTGTGGTAATTGTGAACAGCCATCCACTTATTAGTCTCAGTGTTAAATATCAAGTTAGTCTTGTACTCTTGCTGACTTGTTTTCTTTCTTCCTGTTTCTTGCAGTTATGACATGGAAGCTATTTATTTTGATGATGGTGTCAAAACTGCAAAGAGGAAACAACTGGAATCAAAGCTCCTCCAGGTATTTTGGAGTTAGTTCACTTTCCTATTATCCCAATGAAAGCCAGAAAAATTGATTTAGTTAGTTCAAGCATGTTGCATTTAGTTGAAACATGTTTGGTAAAAAAAAAGTAAGCCGCACGGTGAAGTGATTTATAACCATGTTTTCAGTCCTCGAGGAGTGTTATATCTCCATATCCTCCCTCACAATAAAAAATAAAGTAACCCAACATCTTTATTGAACACAATTAATTTGCTGTGGCTTATTTCTGCTGGTTAAGTAGTCCGCATAAAACCTTAAGATGTGCAAATATAACTCAAGGTTTAACTGGGTATTGTTAAGTGAATGAATGATGAAATGACTTGAATCTTCTTCCTGCTTATGGTTTTTTAACTTCTTGTTTGACATGTTATAGAAGAATGCCTCTTGCATTTACACTAGGAAACTGACTGTATTATTACCAGAACTAACTTGGAAAAGCACAACTAGTAATTGTCAACATTTTCTTTTATTGTGGTGAATAATTGTATATTTTACAAATTATTGTGTTTAAGGAAATTAAAATTTCCCATGTCATTTTGATAAACAAACTAGCCCCTAAATTTGTGTAAAAATATGCATCACCTCTACATTAATTTTTCCATCTCATTTAAGTTTGTATTTTAGATCTATTATTATTTTGAAATGCTAATTTGGGGCACTAAAATATTACAAAATTTTAGTAGGTGAAGTGAATTAATGAAACAATTATTTTTGCGGGTGAACTTGGTTAACTTTTATTTGTTTGTTCTTGTTCTTCACTTAATGGCTTGAATTACTTCCTGGTTTGTTCGTTCATACTATTCTTTATGGAACCAATTGAACGATGCTTCAAGATCTCAATTAGGAGGGCAGTTGAGAGTCTTTGGACCAATCAGTAGTAGTAGCCATGCTCTAAATTTATCTGCCATGTGCAAGGTTTTAAATATCGGTTACCAAAAATATATCGTACGAGCAAATTTCATATCGGATGGTGAGCATGTATAATATAATGTCCTAAAATGTAATCTAAGCATATTTAATGAAAATAACGAGAGAGGGTCTTCGACAGAGATCTTCGAGTGAGAAATTTGTGAACGATTTGGGGGAGAGTACAGTGGAGGCAAAGAGAATTAGGGTTACATGATGAGCTGATGTGAAATAGAATAGAATAACATAGTTTTTGTTTAGTGTATGCGGGTCGGGTATGAAAAAGAGGGGTTTTTTTTGCCTTTAAACCTAAATCCATTCACTTAGAATATAAATTGTAGAAAATTGGGTTATTTTTAGCCCACGAGAATTCGACTACTTTATCAAATTTACACCTATATATCGGGACAAATCTCTCAAAAACGATATCCGATAAATTTTTGCAGAAATTGTATTGGTCATGCCCAAACCCATATTGGTGATAAATCGATAAAATCGGTCTATTTTTAAAACACTGGCCATGTGTGTCTCTCTATGGCTTTATAGAGAAAAGTATGTTATTAATAAGTATAAAGATTTAAACCTCCGGCAAACCATAAAAATCTTATTTCACTTTTATGACCTGGCCAAACACTCTTATTTGCGAACATCATGCTTTCATTCACCAAAGCCAAAATGTGAACTGATTGTTCAGGCCTAATCTGTGGGCTTAATTGCTAGTACTTGAATTTTAAGTGACATTTAACTGATTTGATGAGACTAATCCAAGGTGGACGGCATCAACTATTTGTGATTTTTATATTCTTTTCGTTTTAATCAACACACGCAACATGCACATGCAAGCAACATGTGCACACGCACCAGCAGCACAAAAAGGGAAGGAAAGAAAAGCACAAGCTATGTGTTGGTGAATTCTCCAATTATACCCCTTTATCTGTTTGACCATTTTCCCTTCCGCTTAAAACATTATGGCCTGTTTTTTTCCTTCCCATCTCAAGTTTGGTTACATAGATTCACACTCTTGTTCATGTAAAAAGTTTTACTAGATTGTTAGTGCTTTACAAGCTTGTTTGTATCTCACTGATTACACCTTCTGCACTGTAGCTGGTCCATCCTGTTTATCAATCCATGTTGGGTCACATAAGATCCAAAGTATTAGATGAATCTAAGGCAGCATTGACTAAGTCCCTGGAGGGAGGAGAAGGCTTTGCTGTTGCTGCTCGTGATTGCGCACAATCTTACATGTCAGCATTTGATGAGGGCTGCAAAGGTATTTTGTAAAAGTTTTTTTGCTCACTTATGTATTCATCTCATGCATTTAATCTTTGTTTTCCGTCATTTCTTGCTAGCTTGTTGTCCTTTTTTCTGTAAATGCATTGTTGCTTTCAAGCTAGCCTATTTTCCTTGTGCAGCTGAACCTGCTTCCACACATTCACTTATTTTTTTTTTTTATAGTTTCTGTAGCTACCAAATAGGAAAAAGATGTCAACAAAATTTTTAGTGAATTTGATTCTGGCATTTGATTTCTTTCATTCGGTGAAATCTTTGTTCTTAGATACACATCATCTTCTATTAGGCTTTTGTTTTCCACCTAGTTATGAATTGCTGTTTATGCCTTTGTTAATGCTTCTATATCTCTTTTTTTTGCATTTTTATGTAAGCAAGTATGCCTATAATTTTTTTTAACCATGTGCGGCACGGTGGCATATTAATTCTTGACCATTTGCATAATCAGGGCCATTGATTGGAACCAATTCCAATGTTTGAGGCTCTAGCAAAATTATCCATCAACATAGCTTTTTGCTGAAAGAACTGATTCTGACGAACAGTATACCTGCGTTGGTTGCATAGGCTAAACACTTTCATCAAAATTTTATTAGGGGATAATGGTCTCATTCATCTCTTTCGGTTCATCTGTCTTGCCTTCTGAAATATCACAGTGTGGGGGGGGGGGGGGGGGCAGTACTGGCAGCTCTATCCGAAGACTCTTGACGATTAGTTGACATTAATTACTATCAGATTTATGCATCTGTGGTGGTCTCTTCCAGTAGTAGTATAAAAATAAGCATCTTGATAGTCGTATATGGTTATGCCTAAGTTGATTATTTTCTGCAAGTCGTATACTAATTCAGCATCGATATGCAAACGTCTTTAGTTAGTGTATTGCTTTCATCTTGGTCTCCTGGATGCTTGTCACTTGACCATTATAGCTTTCATTTTGGTCAAAAAAGATCCTTTATAGCTAAATTGTTTGCTGTTACTTTGGTCTTTTTTTTTGGGATTTTTTCAATGTCAAAAAACACTTTCCCTGAAGTTGTTCTGTCTCTAACAAATATGTGAAAATTCTGTGAAAAAGATTTACAATGATGGATGGGAAAAAAAAGAGCTGAAGACCCCTCAGCAAAGAAGTGCATGAAAATTAAGATACTAAGCTCATAAGTTATATTACATCATAGAGTTAAAGAAGCTCTGTTGCAAAAAATAATCATTTATTGTGATACTATATTCTAACTGTTCCCTTGCGGAATGTGCAAGTATGTTAGAAGTAACTGAAATATGCACCAGAAGAATTCAGCCTTATTTCATCTGTGTCCTTCATTTTGTAAAAGTTATTGCCTCCTTTTCTAGGCAATGAAGGAATTTATTTATACTTCTCCTCTGTTTGCTCATTATAATCCCTGTGTAAATGAATTTGTTGTATCTTTTGCAATATAGATGCAACTATTCAACAAGCGAACTGGGACTCATCTAAAGTACGGGATAAGCTACGCCGCGATATTGATGCACACATTTCTTCAGTTCGTGCTGCAAAACTTTCTGAATTGACTACCTATTATGAGGTACAAACATTCTTTCTTATTCTTCTTTAGTTCTAACACGGAGGAACCATTTGGATTGTATGTGTATCTGTCCACAAAAAGGAATTGCTGATTTTTTATTTGATCAGCTACAGTGCAAGGATATGCTTAAGTCCTCCTATAAATGATTAGGATTTCTGAAATGTTTGCAGGCGCAACTTAATAAAGCACTTGTGGAGCCTGTAGAGGCTCTTCTTGATGCAGCTAGTGATGACACATGGCCGGCGATAAGAAGACTCCTCCAACGGGAGACTAAGTCAGCTGTATCCGGTCTGTCTTCTGCGCTTACTGCATTTGATATTGACCAGGTAACAATGGAGAAAATGCTGGCAAAATTAGAAGACTATGCCCGAAGCGTTGTTGAATCCAAGGCAAAGGAAGAATCTGGGAGGATCTTGATCAGAATGAAAGACAGGTACAGGGTGCTGTCCTTGTCTTGGTTTTCATGTTCCATGTTTGTGAATGTTAATGTGACGTGGGATTCATATCTTTTATATAGATTCTCAACGTTATTCAGCCGTGATTCTGATTCAATGCCAAGAGTTTGGACAGGGAAGGAAGATATCAGAGCAATCACGAAAACTGCTCGATCCGCGGTAATGCTTAGTTATTATCAATTTCACATCGGAGCTAGTATTTTGATGTCTCGGTTTAAATCTGGTGTTAAACAAGTTGAATATCATACTTATGACAAATTCTCATTCGGTTTTCTTGTTTTCTTTCTGCAGTCATTAAAATTGTTATCTGTAATGGCCGCAGTTCGTTTGGATGAGAGTAATGATAAAATTGAGAATACCCTTTCATTGGCTCTGGTGGATTCAGGCAAAACTGCTGGTACAAGCAAGAGTATCCAATCAGCTGATCCGCTGGCTTCAAGCTCGTGGGAAGAGGTAAAAGTTGCAGGATATTTCTTAAGTATAATTATTTTCATGACATGTATGATTTCCACGATATAGTGTCCATGTTAGTAGTTGTTTATCTTGGATTTGAATGAAAATTAGGTTCTCATCTTTATATATTATTGCAAAGTCAGGCTAGTATCTTGTGGTGCTTGATTGCACATAAAAAAAGAAATGCTCTATAATTGTGGACAAAGTTTAATGATCTTTTTACTAATGATCTAGACATAATTATAGGTTATTATGGATATTATTTCTTTAATGTTTTGTCTTTCATGATCTCAAGTTCGTCCTGGCAGTGGAAAGGCCATATACACACACCAAAAACAACAAGAAACATAGTGCATCTATTAGTTCAGCTGAAACATCTTTATTGAGGGAGTTGATTACTCAATTGCAATGTTCCTTCTTTTACCTGGTGAAATAGTATTTAGTCATTCCATTTTGATATGTTCCATTGAAGTACATTTTGTGGTTTATGTTTCATACTGGATAATAAAAACATTGCATCAATTTGATATGTACGTCTGTTTTTGCAATATAGCATGTTGTCCTAATGGTTGACTTTGCTAACCTTTATACTAGGTTCCTCCAGAGAAAACACTGATTACACCTGTCCAGTGCAAGTCATTGTGGAGGCAGTTCAATTCTGAAACCGACTACACTGTCACTCAAGCCATTGCTGCTCAGGTACTGTTCCCAATCTTTTTCTTTTATTGCATAATCACCATGTTTCTATATTTTGATCCCTTTTACCCATCTACCATACTGATTTGAAACTTATGATGTTTGCTTAGAGTAGTTCGTTTATTTGCTGCTGGAAACTAGTTCTAGACTAATTTAATTTTTTCCTTAGGGATATAATATAATTGCCAGTCTGATTGTGGTGGACAAGGTGGTATTTTCATATGAAGAAAACTGTAAAGATGCTCAACCTGGATCATAAGTCATTGTGATGTTGATTCAAACCTGGACTTGTGTTGTGTCATTTGTATGTCCAAGTGTACTGTAGACCAACTGGCACACTACACAGGCCCCTCGTTGTCCAATATCGGGTTTATTATGCCTGTTATCAACTAAACTTAAAAAGAACAAAAAAAAAATCAATCTATTCCACTGCAGTGTCTTTTTCACTTACTGTACATTCGTTTCAGAAGGAAGGTCAGCAGTATAAGAACTGTATTACTTCAAACATCATCTTTTTCCTCTTTAAGTGATCCAGTTTATAAGTTTTTTTGGTCAAGCATTTCTTTTGCTAGGAAAAAATCACAAAGAAACTATAACATTTTGGTGTCATAAAATGAATGGTGTTTCTGTACTTCACAGGATTTGTTTGAGCAAGTGTCAACCTTGTGTTGATAAAGCTAATGTTAATACTTTTAAGTTTCTCAACACTTCACAATCTGCTATATTTTGTATCAATTGTATGATGATGCCACAAGAAATATTCCAAGTCAGTAGTCACTCCGAAATTATTTTTCAGCTTACACCAGGTAAAAGGGTTGCATGTCGGGAAGACTCGTACTCAGTTGAGATAACTCACTTGCTCTAGTTAATCAGTATATTTGGGAATTATATTATAGAGTCATAGACTAAGGGAAAGTGTATATGTTGTTGTTTACATTTTCTTTTTTCTAATGGTTTCTATGCATTGATGGTAGATGGTCATGCAGTCCCAGGTCATTTTGTTGTGCTACTTTGTGTCATGTATTGCTCCTATTTCTTTGCAGTCAATGTTTCAGCATTTTAAATTGCAACTGGACATTTGTTAATGATATATATATGTAACAAAAACTTACATTGTATGTTTTATTTTTTTAGGAAGCCAACAAGCGAAACAACAATTGGTTACCTCCTCCATGGACAATCGCTGTCATCCTAGTGTTAGGATTCAATGAATTTATGACCCTTCTAAGGTATTCAAGTGAATAGAATGATCATATAGTATCTTCTAGGGTTTTGCAGCATCTTCCGACTTATAAATCCTCTTCTATCCTTATATCTCGCAGGAATCCTCTTTACCTTGGTTTTATTTTCGTTGCGTACCTCCTGGGGAAAGCTCTCTGGGTCCAGCTAGACATTGCAGGCGAATTCCGTAATGGTGCTGTAAGTGAAAATACATCATAGAAATCGAACCCTAATCGTAACCCTAACAGGACTTGCAGTTGAAATTGCCTTGAATTTCAATTTTCATTTTCTTATATGCAGCTCCCTGGGATACTTTCCTTGTCAACCAAATTTCTTCCTACGGTTATGAACCTTCTCAAGAAACTAGCAGACCAGGGGCACATACCTGCAGCTCCAGAAACCCGAAGAAACCCTGAACTCGATTCTAGAAGCTTCCGGAATGGAATAAATAACGATTCAACATCTGACGCAGCATCGTCTAATATAACATCATCAGAGAGTGGGGCTGAGTACACAAGCCCGATGAAGCAGGAGTGATGATTATAGCAACTAGAATACTTCATTTGTTGTGCTTTAATTATTTTGCGCGAGTTGCAGGAGTGCATTGTTTTTTTTTGAATGTCAAGTCTCTTGCTCTAATAGCTGGGACCGAAAGATGGAGATTTGTGTAGATCGAGTGTAGTTGTATGTGTATTGTTATACTTTTGAATGGGAAGCGGTCTACATTTTTGGAGTGGGGGTGGTGGGGATCTCTGGTGAGGAAATGGGCACCATAAAATTATATTTTAATCTTTTATTTGAACTTTGATACAACTCGGTGTATAAGGATCTCGCTTCATTATTGTTTCAGTGTTCCCACTTTGTTGTATACAACTACTATCATCATTTTAAATGTTGATGCTAGAACTTGGGAGACGTGCATTTGATGTAGAACAGAATATGGCTGTAGCAATAATTTAACGAGTAATTAATTTTCACTTATAATCTTGTGCTGAGACCCAATTGTACAATAATTTAATGAGTTGGGTGATATTTCTTTTTTTCCTTTTTTGTGGCTCGTTCATCATCGGTGAAATTTTGGCGGATATTGACCCTCCCTTCCTGCAGAGATTAATGAGTTTATCTGAGGGTGGAAGTGTAATAATTAAAAAAAAAAAGAACTTCTCTTGAGGGGTTTATCTGCGAAAATGAAACTACAAAGGGGTAACTCAAAAACATCGTAGTATGAAGATGTTTTCACAATCAAGAGAGGTCATTTCTTATGAAAATTCCTGTAGTATGAGGATGTTAAGTTTTATTGGCTATGTAATTACGGGTCATTTTTGGACTTGTTTATAGTTGTTTTGATCATCAAATCAAAGATTAACCGATGGATTAACAAGAGTTCAGAAATAGTCTGGCTTGAGGTGGTTGTCTGCTGTCCTTCACTTCCCCTCGAGAGGAACCTTGTCTTTTTTCCTTTATGCATGAAACAAAAATAAAATAAAAACCCAAACACGAAACATAGGGATAGACTCCATGAGCTAACTGTTTCGTCTCTGCTTTAAAGGGTATTTATTTACTTGAAAGTAAAATCTAAAAGTGTGAAAGTAACTCATTTTCCACGCTATAGGTGTTTGTTTATTTGAAGTATATATGAAAGTGAAATGCAAAATTTATATCAAGTCATATTTAATGCAACTTCAACTTCCTCTAAAAAAGTATTGAAGTCACATAAACTTCATCGGAAGATGCGAAAGTCATTTTTTGTGTGCAAGTGAGAAAATGTATTCACATCGAGTGAAATACAATATTTGTTTTAAAAAAACAAACTATTCTACAGGATACAAACAATTATTATAGGTTATAGTGGTGTACTTAATATATGAAGTAATGAATATTTAAACTACTATATGTTCAGTTGATTTCGTAGAAAAGGGAAAAAATTGATTTATGGAAAGAAAGCCAAAGCCCTTATGCATGTGGATCCTGATTTGGGGTTTCAACCCATTTCCATGAAGAGATAGGGAAAAAAAAGAAACTATGGAATGGATGTCTAAGAAAATCCATGTGATTGTTAATTATTCTTTACATCTCTTGTGGTCCCCATTCTCATCTGGTTGTGCATCGTTTTCCATTAAGGGCCTGTTTGGTTGGGGCAATATTTTAGGAAACCAGTATTTTTGAAACAAGCAGGTTTTGGGTCATTATATGATTCTAAGGGTCAGTTTGGCAAACAGAGCAAAACTATCATGAGATATGATGCTATGATCTGTAGACAAGTTATAAAGATAGCAATCTACAGACTTTGGTGTGTATTAGTATGACATCTACAGACTTTGGTGTGTATTAGTATGACTATCTTTCAAACTTTGGTTCCTCATTTAAGCACTAAATTGGACTTTGCCATCATGCAACCATTTTCATAAGCTATTTGGGGTTTTAGCATTAGGCAATGATGATTGGTCATTTTTGCTAATGCAGCCTATATTGTTACTTCATTATTTTGACGAGGCAAACCATGATGAGAATGCAATCTAAATTGCTCATGCAATTTAGATTTGGAAACCATTATGTGAACGCAATCTATAAATGAGGAAACCATTATGTGTACGCAATCTATAATGTAATTATAATATTTATGCGAGGCATTGTATACTGACAATATGACTTTAATCTGAGACCTCATACTCTATTATTTAACAATCACTTTCATATTTCTACGTTTACTAATCCATGATTAAAACATACGGGAGTACTCGTCCCGTATGTTTTCTGAGCTATTTTGCAAAATAGATATTTTTTTGGCCTGTTGGCCAAAAAGAGGTCTATTTTACTAATTATTTAGCAAAACGATCTATTTTGGTAAATAATTAGTAAAAACGGACTATTTTGCAAATTTTCCCATCGGACTACTCTGCGTTGTGTTTTCTCTGCATTAGTGGGCGTGTAGTATGAAGATGTTTTCACAATCAAGAGAGGTCATTTCTTATGAAAATTTCTGTAGTATGAGGATGTTAAGTTTTATTGGCTATGTAATTACGGGTTATTTTTGGACTTGTTTATGGTTGTTTTGATCATCAAATCAAAGATTAACCGATGGATTAACAAGAGTTCAGAAATAGTCTGGCTTGAGGTGGTTGTCTGCTGTCCTTCACTTCCCCTCGAGAGGAACCTTGTCTTTTTTCCTTTATGCATGAAACAAAAATAAAATAAAAATCCAAACACGAAACATAGGGATAGACTCCATGAGCTAACTGTTTCGTCTCTGCTTTAAAGGGTATTTATTTACTTGAAAGTAATATCTAAAAGTGTGAAAGTAACTCATTTTCCACGCTATAGGTGTTTGTTTATTTGAAGTATATATGAAAGTGAAATGCAAAATTTATATCAAGTCATATTTAATGCAACTTCAACTTCCTCTAAAAAAGTGTTGAAGTCACATAAACTTCATTGGAAGATGCGAAAGTTATTTTTTGTATGCAAATGAGAAAATGTATTCACATCGAGTGAAATACAATATTTGTTAAAAAAAAACAAACTATTATACAGGATACAAACAATTATTATAGGTTACAGTGGTGTACCTAATATATGAAGTAATGAATATTTAAACTACTATATGTTCAGTTGATTTACTAGAAAAGGGAAAAAATTGATTTATGGAAAGAAAGCCAAAGCCCTTATGCATGTGGATCCTATTTGGGGTTTCAACCCATTTCCATGAAGAGATAGGGAAAAAAAAAAGAAACTCTGGAATGGGTGTCTAAGAAAATCCATGTGATTGTTATTCTTTACATCTCTTGTGGTCCCCATTCTCATCTGGTTGTGCATCGTTTTCCATTAAGGACCTGTTTGGTTGGGGCAATATTTTAGGAAACAAGCATTTTTGAAACAACAAGTAGGTTTTGGGTCATTATATGATTCTAAGGGTCAGTTTGGCAAACAGAGCAAAACTATCATGAGATATGATGCTATGATCTGTAGACAAGTTATAAAGATAGCAATCTACAGACTTTGGTGTGTACTAGTATGACTATCTTTCAAACTTTGGTTCCTCATTTAAGCACTAAATTGGACTTTGTCATCATGCAACCATTTTCATAAGCTATTTGCGTTTTTGGCATTAGGCAATGATGATTGATCATTTTTGTTAATACAACCTATATTGTTACTTCATTATTTTAATGAGGCAAACCATGATGAGAATGCAATCTAAATTGCTCATGCAATTTAGATGAGGAAACCATTATGTGTACGCAATCTATAAATGAGGAAACCATTATGTGTACGCAATCTATAATGCAATTACAATATTTATGCGAGGCATTGTATACTGACAATATGACTTTAATCTGAGACCTCATACTCTATTATTTAACAACCACTTTCATATCTCAATACATTTTTCAACTACATGACATATTTTTAAAGACGAGTACACAAATTATAACTGAAAACAATACACTCATTTTCCAAATGATTAGTTGATGCTTTGCAGATTTCAATTCTCTCTTTAATTTTTTGATTTTCATTGACTTTTTATCTTCACTTTGTGATACTTGATTTCTATTTCTGCAATCACAATTAAGCACAACCCCAATAATATCTCAATTTATTTTTTTCCATTTGCACGTCTAAAAGATGTTGCCATTCCCTTCTTGTAAGAGACCCTTTTTTGAGTGGCAACCCTAAATAGGAAAATGGAAGGGATCCAACGGAACAGTTAAGAGTTCTAGCTAGTAATTGACCTTTGTGAGGAAATCTACCATGATAGAAAAGATTAGTTTTGAGATTGTTAACCTTGAGACCTGAGATGTTAGCAAAGATAAGAAGGATGGCCTTAAGAGGGATCATGTCTGAAGAGGAAGTCTTGGAGAAGATGATTGTATCGTCAGCAAATTGAAGGGATCTAATAGAGTTTAACTCTCCCTTAAAGATGAAGATCAGAGAGGTCTCCCGATGCTACACTAGTTGTGAGCATTCTATTAAGAACGCCAAAAACTAGGAGAAAAAGCATAGGAGAAAGAGGGTCTCATTGTCTAAGACCCCTATGACAAGGAAAAAATTTGGTTGGAGATTCATTAACCAGAACATCTGCTTTTGATGAAGAAAGGATATGTTTGATCCAAAAACACTATTTGGAACTAAAGCCCCTGGCTGCCATAAGAGATAGGAGAAAACTCCAATCGACACAGTCAAAAGCCTTGTAGAAATCAACCTTGATGGCACAAACCTCCTTTTCCCCCGAAGAACAGTAATTAATCATCTCATGTGCAAGCAGGATGGAGTCTAAAGTTAAGTCATTCTAAAAGTGAAAATGTGGAAAGCATTTGACAGTAGTTGGCAAACAATCCTTAAAAGCACAAATGTGATTTTAAATAAATAGATATTGTGACATCACTTTTTTAATTAATTTGGAATAACATATATTTGTTTTTTCAAACGAACTATAATACCGACGCGAAGTTGCATTAAGCTAAAGGAGATATTCTGATAAATTCTCAAAGCTAAAGGGGATTTTCTAACAAGAGTTTAAAGTTAAAGGAAGATTTTCTGATAATCCTTATACCTAAGGAAAGGTATTCTGATATTTTCAAAGTTACTTCTTTTATCAAATGCATCTTTGAAAATTATCTAGTATAAATATGATTTTCAATAAGCAGATGTTGTCCCATCATATTTTTTTTTTCTAATTTGGACAAAATATTAAATTTTTTCCCTTTGAACACTAATATTAGCATGACTCTGCATTAAGTTAGAGGAGAGCTTATGCAAATTCTCAAAGATAATGGGGGTTTTCTGATAAAAGCTTAAAGTTAAATCGATGCTTTCTGTAATCCCTATACCTAAAAAGAGGTTTTCTAGTACTTTCGAAGTTACTTCTTTTCTCATTTGAAAATTATCTAGCACAAATCTGATTTTCAAAAATAGATATTGTTACATCATATTTTTTAATTTACTAGTTGAGATGCACGTGCAATACACGTGGTTAAAT